GCACCTCAAGCAGAGGCATGCAGCCGAGTGGGAGAAATGTTGCTCTCTGCGAGATATACAGGACCGCAGCCCACAAACACCCGCTAAAAAACAGTCTACAAAAAAAATCGATAAAAATCGTAAATCGGGTTTGGTGCGAAAAAATCGGAGATTTTATTTTTAAGCCGTATCGCCCAGCCCTATATAAAGGAAGACTTATTCTCACCATAATTCTATGGTATTTGTAAGGCCAATAATACATAAGTTAATCAGAGTATGGCCAATCAGTGCCCATCTCTGATACTGATATTTACACAATCAAGAAACCAAATCCAGCCAAGCAAGTACTCCAGAATGATCTGAACCCAATTTATGCCGTCTGTCTCCAGGGTGACAGTCCTCATTTTTTGACATTGGCGTACCCCCTGAGGGAAGATGAAGATGACAGAGGAAGAAAAGACACATAGTTAATCAGGTCATGAGTGATCCACTTACCTTGGGACAGTCTTCTCCTGCGTAGCCAGCTCTTACAGAGTATGAGCCAATGTCGAACACCAACGCTCCCACCTCATCTGGAGAAATGAGACATGTGCTGTGAATTTGATTTCAATTGTAAATTTAACAATCGTTTTCTCAATGAGAGGAAGGTCAGTACAGTTTAATATCTCAATGAATACTGATACTTAGAAATACTCAATAAGAGTTTACGGTAGATCTCTAAAATGACAAATGGCAGATCACTTTTTACTGTATATTTTTCACTGAACTGATAATATAAAGAGCAGTTCCTTAAACAATATTCTGTCTCTTTTTCCCCATTCTCACACGATACACAATCACATGAAATGTTTCAGATATTTACAGCTAGCCCGTACTTTAAACATCCCCATTCCACCACTTTATCTGCAGATACTGGTGTTTTTCAAGTACTTTTCTTAAAAATGATAATGCCACAATCTGATAAGCAGAATGTGGTGCTGGCATTTTTTTTGCGATCTTTCCGGGGGGGACGCCACAGGAAGTTCAACCTGTTTTCACATGTATCTGTAATCATCAGTCTTACTCATATCTGTGCTTGTCAATTTTTTTACTTTTCCCCCCGAATGATAACCTGTGCTGCTTATTGATTAGTCATTTTAATAGACTTGATGGCAAAGTTAATTGATAATTACTTTTATTATGAATTAAAAGTACCAGTATATTGCTCAGTACTGGTAAAGATTACAGACTCCTCAGCTGATTAAATGCTTTGTACAATAAACATTCAACCATACAGAATAAGTTTAAGTATAAATTAAAGTTGGATGATGAATGAACAAACATTTGTACCTAAGAGCCATTGATCATTACCTTACACCATTTCGCTGCACAGTTTGTAAAATGAGTGTCAGTAACATTAACTAGGCATGCTACAATGTAATGATGTTGTAAAAAATCTAGCTTGCACAAGAACTTGCTCAATAAATCTAGGTTCAAGTTGTCATCACCACTGACAACAACATATACAACATATTTGTTTGCAGTGCTCAGAGCAGCAGATCCACCTAATAAAGTTACTTCAGTTCAGAAAACATCTGTAAAGTTCTCATTCAAAAAGGCAAAAACCTTTTATTAACAATAAATCGAGCCCTATAAAGCGCCACCACTGTTACAAGAAAGCCACATCCCCGTTACACCAACACACCAACACAACGGGATGTGATCATGAGTTCATCCAGCCCACTCTCATTCATTTCCTTGCTAGCTAGCTTAGCTTAGCGGCACCGGGGTTGGTTTACATTGTTGTTGCACAAACAAACTCAGCTTGAGCCACACCACGGCGCACATAAAGTGCTAACAAGTTCACAAATTCTCAAACGCACGGTGATTAAAAACGCAAGCATGTAGCTTTTAGTCTACCACGGAGCTAGTTACGCGTTAGCACCGCTAGCTCACTAGAAAGCTGGCTAAAGCTCCAGACCGGGACAACGTGGACAAACAGTGTGTGTTTATTTGAACCATAAGACCCCACTCACCGCCTCCGTACACTCCGCCACTCATCCTGTAAGTTATCTCAAGAGCGACTTTCTGAATAGAAGTTATTACAGCAGAATCACAACCGCTGAACGGTCAATCACAACAAAGGAGATGTGTTAGCACGGAGCAACGTAACGAAGCGGGCGCCACACTGCGTAGAGGCAGCCGTCCAATCAGAGCGCAGCGCAGCGCTACTACTTCCGTTTCTGCTGTGACGGAAACATCCAGAGACTGCTATTACTTCCATGCTCTGGAGTGGACGTGGCCCTACGGACTTCATATCAACGTGAGTGACAAAAAAAAGTGCTTATGAGTGGCGTAAAGTTACTTTTATTGATCAGAACCGACGTGCAGACATTGTACGTGCACGCTTTCTGACAGCACGCCGATGTCAGTGAGCGTAAAGTGCAGGACCTTGAGTCACGGTCGTTTATACTCTGCAAGACTGACGCTGATCGGCGACCATGTCACGTCGCGCTGCAAAAGTAGCAACTCTGACATTTGAACATTTGGAATTTCAAAACGCAAACCTGTGGTTACTGTTTTGGTTTACATTCTGCGGTATCGTGGTGTCAACTGTCTTCTGTCTTTCTCATGAAAAAAACGTTTCTGCAGCCTCGTGGTTGTCCAAAGTTGGATGATTTGCGCAAGCGCACAGGCTGGATATGCTTGAGTAACTTGCTGGCCATACAGTAAAAGTCTGAGAACACCTGTGGTTATGTAACCCATAGGCTATTTTGAATGAAGTGCACACAGCTGCAACAGTACTAGTTATAACCTGCTACAGTTCTACTATATATATTGTTTAACTTGTCGTTTCCCTTTTATTGACCTTCTGCATACTGCATTATTGATATTAAGGTAATAGGAGAATATTAGTGCATTTTTGCAATTGGTAGAATATGGAAAATTAAATTTTCCCAGAACCTGAGGCTCTGCCCCTAACAGTATGACACCCAAAGAGATTCAGTTTAATATCATAAACAGCTAAAAGTAGAATATAGTCACAGTTTATAATAGCTGATGCAACTATAGTTATTTATTTATCTTGAAACTGGAAGTTAATTCTTGACCTGGAGTAACAGGAATGGATAGAAGCGGAGTTGAAATGATTAGTCAAGTAAAGCAAAACAGTTGAAGTGGTCTCCTTTGGGCCAAGGAAAATTGTGCTGTGCATTTCTCTCTATTTTCTGCAGTTTTATTGAATAAACAATTTCTTGATGTACTCTGACCTTCCTGATTAGATAGTTTTGTCAACAATTCTTTACAAATGTTCTTCAAACATTTTAAACTTGTAAAATAAATATTTAACTTTGTTTGCTTCCAGCACCCATGCAGCACTGCCTCACTCTGACCCTTGCCCGGCACAGCAGGCTCCTCTTAAGAAATAAACTTGCATTTGTCCGCTGCCAGCAGTCAGCAGCCATGTCAGGTCTCCTCATCAACCAGCCCAAATACTCCTGGCTGAAAGAGCTGGGCCTGTCTGAGGACAACCCTGGTGTTTACAACGGGAGCTGGGGAGGTAGCGGAGAGGTCATCACGTCATACTGCCCTGCCAACAACGAGCCGATTGCCAGAGTAACCCAGGCAACTTTGGCGGAGTATGAAGAAACTGTCCAGAAGTCGAGGGAGGCTTGGAAGATGTGGGCGGATATTCCAGCTCCCAAAAGAGGGGAGATTGTCAGGCAGATTGGAGATGCGCTTAGAAAGAAAATCAAAGTCCTCGGGAGCCTGGTGTCTCTGGAAATGGGCAAGATCTACGTTGAGGGAGTGGGAGAGGTTCAGGAGTATGTTGATGTCTGTGATTATGCTGTTGGTCTGTCTAGGATGATTGGCGGGCCCATCCTGCCTTCAGAAAGACCAGGTCACGCCCTGCTCGAGCAGTGGAACCCAGTCGGTCTTGTCGGCATCATCACCGCCTTTAACTTCCCCGTGGCCGTCTACGGATGGAACAATGCCATCGCTTTGACCTGCGGCAACGTTTGCCTCTGGAAAGGCGCTCCAACCACGCCCCTCACAAGTGTCGCAGTTACCAGGATCGTGGCTGAGGTGCTGGAGCAGAACAACCTGCCCGGTGCCATCTGCTCCATGACCTGCGGAGGCGCAGATATCGGCACAGCCATGGCGAAGGATGAGCGCGTGGATCTGGTGTCGTTCACTGGCAGCACCCACGTCGGCAAGATGGTGGCCATGATGGTGCAGGAGAGGTTCGGTCGTAAGCTGCTGGAGCTCGGCGGAAACAATGCCATCATCGTGTTTGAGGACGCTGACCTGAATCTGGTGGTGCCCTCTGCCGTGTTTGCCTCTGTGGGAACCGCTGGCCAGCGCTGCACCACAACCAGGAGGCTGATGCTGCACGAGAGCGTTCACGACACAGTGGTTGAGAGGATCGCCAAGGCCTACAAACAAGTCCGTATCGGAGACCCCTGGGATCCGAGCACCCTGTATGGGCCTCTGCACACCAAACAAGCTGTGGAGCAGTATCTGGCTGCCATCGAGCAAGCCAAGCAGCAGGGTGGCACTCTGGTCTGCGGAGGAAAGGTGATGGACCGCCCTGGAAACTACGTGGAGCCTACCATCATCACAGGGCTGGCTCATGACGCTCCCATTGTCCACACCGAAACCTTCGTCCCCATTCTGTACGTCCTCAAGTTCAAGACGGAAGAGGAGGCATTTACCTGGAACAACGAGGTCCAGCAGGGCCTGTCCAGCAGCATCTTCACCAAAGATATGGGTCGGGTTTTCCGCTGGCTGGGGCCCAAAGGATCCGACTGCGGCATTGTGAATGTCAACATTCCTACAAGCGGAGCTGAGATCGGAGGAGCCTTTGGTGGAGAGAAACACACAGGGGGTGGAAGAGAGTCCGGCAGTGACTCGTGGAAGCAGTACATGAGGCGTTCAACCTGTACGATAAACTACAGCAAGGATCTTCCTCTGGCCCAGGGAATCAAGTTTGAGTGAAGCCTTCCGGTAGTTTGTTGTTTAAGCGTTCGATAAGCCCAAAAGGACAACACTAAATGATTTAGTGGCAGAGTGTTGCCGAGCAAATGCTAGACGTGTGTCATTGTATTTTCAGGTCAGTTTTAATTTTAACAACATTTTGGATCAGTTTCATTTTACCTGAATGAAATCTGTGTCTATGGTTGTTGCATTAGATATGAATCCCAGTTTTGAAATAACATAATTTTGTGTGAAAGGTCAAATTTTGTTCCTTCAAACAGCTGGTGTGCACTTTTCTACAAGCACTTGGAAATTGAGTTTGAGTGCTAGATAACTGTACCAGATACTTTATACTGTATAAAAAAATAAATCTTGCCTTTATTTTGGAACAAAGACTGGAGTGGACATTTTTAATGTGTAGATTACATCATAGTTGTGCAAATCTCATTCAAACACAGACTGCTTAAAAATCTTGTCATAAACTTTCTCAAGGTCAATTGATAAACTGCACTTTGGAGTCACACTGTGCTTTTCAGATAATAAAACAACAATAAATAAAAGGCTTCATGTTGACATGTGGACTTGGCCTGGCTTTTATTTGTAACTTGTGTGAATGGATTACAAGAAGCAACACAGGTTCAGCATTCAGCCATATTAACTGTTCTATCGCGGCATGATCATTTTTATGACCCTTGGGTTTCCTTGTTTTTTGTGTTACTCAAGCATCAAACCACTGATTTAGGCATGCAAAAAAATTCAATGCAGTCAAGATGCTGATGGGTTCAACTAAAATGTGACTGATTTTGTGTGAAGTGAACATATTTTTGTTGCAGCATTTTTCTTTGTTTTGAAAATTACACTTGAAATTACAACCAATTACGTAATCTCTGCATGTAACCATAAAGAGCCTCATTTTGGTTTTAAATATTATAATTAATTACCAAATGATACATAAGTGTTACACAATAATAACAAACATTGTGTAGTCTATATATAACGATAGATAGATAGA